TATCTTTGTACTTCAAAAGACAGCCTGCTTATGATGTGCACGATACTGCAAACTCCTTTTTGTAAAATTAAGATCATTTAGATATTTTATGTATTATATATATATACTGCACCTTGCAAATTTTTTAAGAATAATTTTTTCTTAAGTCTAAATCTATTTCTTATTTGTATTTTTAATGCAGAGTCAATTTCAAAAACAAAAAAAAAAAATATTAATAACATCATTTTTTAAAACATCCTCACTTTAGTTTTAGTGCCTTGAACCTTTGCACAGAACCGTATCTGAAAGCTATGGAGGATGAAGTGCAAGAGCTGAAGCTGTGTTTCAGAGTCCACCTGGTGACCACTGAAAAAAAATCAACTTGCCATTTTCTTACTTTCATTTTGAAATGTAATGAAACACAAGGCAAAGTTGATCCAGGAGTTATTATTTTATATAACATCCCAGGTGATTCTTTCCAAAAAGTAATTTTGGCTGTTAGCAAATATCAATACCAAAAGCAGGGGAGAAAGTCTGAATGCTGCTGTTGACTGTGGCTCTCCGGGGTGGGAGATGTTGGACCTGCTGCTAAGGTTTGTGTGCTGAGAGGTAAAAATTATCTACCTGAGTGAGGTATTGCTTTAAGTCAGCCCTGTCAGTATAATAGGAAACTGCCTTAAATCATTCTTTACATTTCCACCTGCAGCTTAAGATGACGTAAGTCTTTCAGCTTTTTATAATTTACAGTTATTTTCAATTTTTGCTTTGAACATCACAGTAACGATGTCATGTCCCCATTAGCTACAGGTATCATCCTGGTTTTTCTCCAGAGATCAATTGACTTTTGCTAATTGCAGAGGCCATCTAAGCTCTGACACTTGGTGGCTGAGCATTAGTGTTTAATTAGGCTACTTTTGTTTTCAGCATATTTATTGCGTGATTATGTTTCTAGTTCTACTTAGGTAATGGCTGTAAAAGGAAACTTAGAGGCACACATTTGAATGAAACATCAAGATATGTACTATTTTTGATGGCAAGCTATCACATAGCTGCCTGTATATCAAGTTTATGCTATATTAAGAAAAAATGAGCACAGAATGCAGGACACAGGAGGCCACACTGCAAAAAAAAAAGCGAGCTTTAACGTAAAGCTGATTTAGTAGAGGTGGAAAAAGTGCAAGAAAACACAAAAATAAGAACAAGCACAAGGAAGAACAGTGGTAAAGAACATGGGTAAGTATACACACTGACAAACAAGGATGAGAAGGGCAGGGCTATAAATAGGCAATGCAGAAAACTAATTGACTCAACACGGGGGAAACTAATGTGGGCAGGGCAGACAAACACAAAAGGCTGGAAAGAAATGACGACAGAGTGTAAAAGACTGTGACAAGCAAGGTAAGAGAGAAAACAAAAAATAACCAAAGTTCAACAAAAAAACAGACACAGTAACATTATAATTATCAAACAGATGCTGAAAAGAGGTTGAAATACAAAATATTACTGATTTGCTTGGAAATTGATATTAATTTGCTTAGAAAGGAAAGGAAAGGAAATATGAATATCTATATTAATGCAAGCGTTTGGTGAAATATTTGAAAGTCCATGTGATTGGGTTTTAAATTTCTGTTTGGGCTCACGTACAATAATATCAACCGTTGCCTGAAGCAAGAAAGGTAGTGTAAATAATGCAAAGGGATCAGTGAGAGACATTTCCTTTCTGTATTTGTGTGTCTACAACATGAGTTATGTTTCCGAAATGAAAAACTGAACAGGTCTCTTATTGCAAATCCAAGAGACCTTTAAACCTCGCAAAGCACTTGGGACTAAAGCTTTAGGGGAAATAAATGAAACAAATCCCGAGATGTAAATTCAAAAAGGGATGAGAAGGATTTCCCCTTGAAATCCCCTGAAAACACAGTCAGTGATGGACATACACTCACAGGACAGGTTTTTAGGTACCCATTCAGACACCCTTTGGCCTTCTGAACTGAGGTAATTTTTTAGATTCAACAAGGTGCAGGAAACAGTCCTCATTTGACTACCGAGTGTCATCTTGAAGAAACCAGTTTGAGATGATCTTTATGAGCTTTGCGACATGGTGCGTTATATATATTGATGCAAAGCAGAATGGATCCATGCTTCCATGTTGTTTATGCCAATTTTTTTACTGTTCTGTCAGAGTGATACAATAAAAGTTGAGATATTTTTAGTATCAGAGTTTTCCCAGTTGCCTCAGTCGGAATTCACATAGGCTCATTTTCTTAGCTGACAGATACTGCACCTTGTGTGGTCTTCTGCTTGTAGACCAACTACTTACAAGTTTGACATGTTGTGTTATCACACTTCTGTATACTTTGATTGCAATGAGAGTTACTGTTGCCCTCCTAAAAGCTCAAAGCAGTGTAGTCA